ATTTGGGAAGAATGGGACCAAGACTTCTGAATACCCCAATTTTTGACCACTCCATAGGTCTACACCATATATTCTGCCAAATTTTCTTCATCTACAAAATGGGGATTTTGAAATCCAAATACTGACTTTCTGTGAGAACTAAGACCACATGATAAACACAAACTACAAAACTATGTTAAAATATAGGTGCTGAGCAGTCCTAGAAAAATTACAAGGGGCTCCAGAGCATTGGCCTCCAGAGTCATTCATAAAAAGCAGAAATATCAAATACTAAATCCATGTATGCCATGAGTCCTCCCATGATTTTCTCCATCCCTCTCCCCCACCACCAGCCAAAATAAACCATTTTGTTCATGTTCCTGGTTGGTATAAACTGGAAATTAACTTGGATAAAAGGAGCCACCCCAGCATGAGGAAACCTTCAGGCTGGGGATTCATCCAAAACTTATTCCCAGAAGATGTTTCCACTGACCCAACAGTCACAATCTCAAAGAAAAAGTCAGGGGAAAATGAAGACATAGGAAGAATGAGGTGGAGAAGAAAAGGGAAAGGTAAGCAAAATAAAGTCTAAAAAGATTTCATAATTGCCCATTTTCTGTATGCACATACAAAGAGAAACAGCTAGATGTTTGCAACACTTAGAATTCCAGTAACAATTCCATAACGTTTTTCTATAGCAGATTCTTCAGAGATTAGAGAGATAAAAGAATTTGCACACAAATTATAACACATTGTTCAGACTGATAATCTTTACAGATATGTGTGCACATTTATTCACAAATATGTGGCCAAAAGAACATGCTGGTGAAAAATAAGCAATCATCCATTTTAAAGGAATTTATTTTAAATACTTTTAAAAGTATAAGCATGGGAGCAGACTTAATTCCAGTTGAGTATTCCCAGCATCTTTAGCAGCTTGATCAACTTAGCAAGGACATGTTTGGCAGTGCAGGGCTTGTATTCAAGTTCTATCTGCTCTCCTCATTGTCTCTCTGACTTTAGGTGAGATGCCCAACTCCTCTGATCCTGAGTTTCTACAGTTGTAAAATGAGGACAACCATAAAACTTACCTCACACTGTTGTGAATAGCAAATGAAGCAATATAGCATTTCTAAAATGCCAGACTGCAACAAATATTTTACAGTCTGCAGCAAAATGGGGGAATGAAAGTGTATGGATTCTTAATAAAGCTATTCATTCAATAAAAGACTGACCCCTTATTTTGGTGTTAATATCTTTCCCACTTTTCTGGTGTTAAGAATCTTTCTGTTATTAAAGAGCTGGCAAAAGTTCAGCTCTTTCTGTATGATTTCAGTAAATGGCTATTGTTTTGGGTTTTCTCTTTTGTTATTTTCCTCAGGTGGCCAAAGAAACACTTGGCAATTCAATCTTATTTCTGCAAATTCTCTCTGAAGTGTTACTGGTCTTTGAAATGCAAAGGCCAGAGTATCACTGTAATAATACATGGATGGCAGTGGTCCCTGCATGGACCTAAGCTATGGTCACCAAATGACTCAGCTGCATTTGAAGACAAGTAGGGAACACTAGAAGGTAGCTTTTTTGCTTGTGGGACTAAGGAAACTAAGAGGGAAAAACTCACTGAAACATAAGAAATAGCCTATCAGACATATCGTTAATGATCAGTGGTTGAAGTCAGAGGATGATTCCAAGGTCAATACCTTATCTGCTGTTTGGATTTATGTTTTCCTTGGCCAAATCTTATTGGGATGTTCAAGAGGGACTATAGTAAAACTAAAAGTACTGTTTCACTAAACTTCATAAGCCATTAGGATGGGGTGAGGGACAAGGCAGTACTGCTTTGAGGCTCAAGGAAAGGAGCTTGACACAAAACAGGGAAAACTTTTCTCCCCACTTGGGTGGTCTAACCACAGAGGTACAGTGATCGGGATCTCCGTGGCTTAGGCGGCATGTGGGACTTTGGAAGCACAATGAAACTGCACCTTCAATATAAGCTCCTTTGATGGCAGACACCTGTAGCCATAGCAACACGGAGGCACCTTCACAATGCTTCAATTCAGGAAACAGATCTCACCAAAATACACCAAATCTAGAGAGAACAAAAATGGCCAACACCAAGCAGTAGCTAAGAGGATGTGCTTGTGGGGACTTATGAAAGAGTCCTCAGGGAATCCTAGAAATACAAGGGGACTAAAAGAGCCAGTGGTAGCAAGGAGGTGGGGAGTACAGAAGAGAGAGGTAAAGTCAGTACCTGAAACTCTTAGGTTTCAGGAAACCTGTTACTCTTAGGTGCACTGGGTGAAGCCCATGCTTACTCCAACTGTGTAACCTTAGTCAATTCCCTTAACTTTTCAGAGCCCCCACTTCCTCATCTGGAAAATGAAATAATGAATATTAATAACTGGTTCACGGAATAATGTTGAGAATCAAACAAGATGACTTATTTTAAAATCTTCCTTAAATGTTAAAGTACAATGTAAATATTAACTTTTTTTTTTTTTTTTTTTTTTTTTTTTGGAGACGGAGTTTCGCTCTTGTTACCCAGGCTGGAGTGCAATGGCGCGATCTCGGCTCACCGCAACCTCCGCCTCCTGGGTTCAGGCAATTCTCCTGCCTCAGCCTCCTGAGTAGCTGGGATTACAGGCACGCGCCACCGTGCCCAGCTAATTTTTTGTATTTTTAGTAGAGACAGGGTTTCACCATGTTGACCAGGATGGTCTCGATCTCTTGACCTCGTGATCCACCCGCCTCGGCCTCCCAAAGTGCTGGGATTACAGGCTTGAGCCCCCGCGCCCGGCTGTAAATATTAACTTTAACAGCGGACTGTTATGCAACTTTCAGTGCTGAGATCTTAATCAGAATTTTAACCTGTAGCACATCCACTCCAGATACACAGCTGAAAGCATGCCTTCAAGGAGAAAGAATGAGGAGAGAATGAGCTAACTTGATTATAAAGTGGGAGGGAAGGAAAAACCCACCCAGTTACACCCAGAGGACCAATAAGCTGTCAATGTAGGAAGGAATTGTGAAGGGAGGAAAGAAATATGCTATGTATATCACAGTTATGCATTGCCATTTATTTCTTATAAAACTCTGTAAGGAAGAGATGACCACCCTCTTTACAGATAACGCAAATGAGACTCAGAGAGGTTAAACGTCGCACCCAAGGTCACATAATAAATAGAAGACAGGGGTGACATTTGTAACCCAGATATTTCCTACTCTAAAATCAGATAGCTGGCAAATTAAAGAGCTGGCAAAAGTCCAGCTCTTTTTTCTTTGTTGTTGCTTCTCTATATGACAAATAAGTCACTAAGCATGTTGCACCATGCCCCGTGCCTCCATGTTGTTGCAAGCTCAATCTAAATCTTTCTGCACACTCAGGAGCTGGCTTTGGCTCTCGATAAAAGATTCTTTCAACCGCACTTGCACTTGAATACTTCCTAAAACTGTTCTTTTGGGTGGCAAAACACTTTATTTGTTTGCATGGGCGTATCCTGAAAGCACTAAAGTGAAATTACTCAGATGAAAAATAAAGTCCTTTCACTGTGTGTAAATGCAACACATGTAGCTTGCATGGGGAAAAAAAGAAAACTTAAAGTACATGAGCTGAGTGAGAATTAAGCAAGCTGTAAAGATGGGAACTCTGTGCGAGGAAAGCCAGAGGCTTGTGGCTTTCTGCTGTAGAACACCATGCCAATGGGACGATGTGGCTGCATTCCTGATATAAAGACAGTGTACTGTTATTCTGCTCTTTGTGAAATGGGGTTGCAGGGAAGCACATGTGGTAATAATAGGAAAAATGCAATTCACTTTGGCTGCTTTTCAAACTTTACTATTTGGATAATCTGGGGACTTTTTTTTTTTTTTTTTAACTTTGAGAAGTTCTCTCAGGACTGGCTGATTATAAGATGAGAATATGTCCTAGATGCTGCCAACAGAGAAAACTTGGCTGAATTAGATTTTTTAAGTTGTATATACTTTTGCTGGGACAGATTGGCTTCTCCAATCACCTCTTCTTTTTCAGAGAACTAACTCAAATTCTGCCTTGAAAGAGTTTTAATCTTTCCTGCTCAGGATGAAGGACCTTCAATGCTCTTCCCAAATAAACCCCCAGGTGCTCGTTGTTAATGCGCCAAGCCAAATGTTGAAGACAGTCTCATTTCTGCAATGTACTATGCCCTGAATTGATGCGGCATATTTTAACTCTGATGAGTTAAAAACCTAAGCAGTTCACTTATTATTATTATTATTAATTTTTTTTTTTTGCAGCTCATTAAATTGTGTCTGACTGCTATGGACCCTGGGTTCATGCTCAAGGACAAATAGTAACCAAAATGAAGAAGCTACAACTTGTTCTTACTACAGCCAAAAAGTCTCTAGGGAAAAAGCAAAACTGAAATGTGACTTAAAGGAAACCAAGCCCACGTAAAAGAGGCTTTGGGAGCATAGAGGAAAGAAGACAGAAGAGTAAAAATTAGAAGAGTAGAAAGAGTTTCACCACTCAGATGCATGGAGTCTGCTCGGAGGTTGGAGTGACTGTGTGATCTCAGGCATGTTACCAGTCACCAACTCTCCAAGCCCCATCTGTAAAATAGAACTAAAGATATCCCTGTTCTGGGGTTAACATGTTAATGAAACAACCATTATGAAAGTTCCTGGCTCACGTCCAGCTACAAAGTACTGCTCAATTATTGCCGGTTTCCTTCTCTGTCTACAGGATTGATGTGGAAACCAAATGAGATTATTTGGGATGAATTCAAGTGCCATTTACATGTGGGATTGTTGTAAAAAGAAAAAACTGAAATATAAAAAAAGAAAGGAATGTAAAGAAGAGGGCACAGGTTTCAAAGAGATATCTGCACTCCCATGTTCACTGCAGCATTAATCACAATAGCCAAGACATGGAAGCAACCTAAATGCCCACCCATTAGTAAATGGATAAAGAAAACATAGCATATAAATATGATGGAACATTATTCAGCCCTGAAAAGGAATAAAATTCTGCCATTTGTGGCAAAATGGATGAATATGGAGGACAGTATGGTTAGTGAAATACATCAGACATGGGACAAATACTACGTGATACAATTTACATAATAAATCTGAAATACTCAAACTCAGAAGCATAGTGGACTGGTGGTTGACAGCAGCTGGGAGACAAGACATTAATCAAAGTGTACAAAGTTTCAATTATACTAGATCAATGAATCCCAGGGATCTACTTTACAACATAGTGCCTATAATTAACAATATGTTATGTTCTTGAAAATGTGCTAAGATGATAGATCTTATGTTAAATGTTCTTGCCACAAAAATTAATAATAATAACTGGAGGTGATGAATAGGTTTATGGCATAGATTGTGGTGGTTTCATACGTGTATACTTATCTCTAAGCTCATCAAATTATAAACAATAAATATGTAAAGCTTTTTGTAGGGCAATCCTACCTCCATAAAGTATTTTTAAAAAACAGGGAAAATGGGATAAGGGATACACAGCAATCCTCTGTACTATCTGGCAACTTTTCTGTAAATCTAAAATTATTCCAAAATTTAAAAAGAAAAATACCTGCTTCCCAGAGAATCCTTTGGGTTCTGATCTGGATGTTGCCCAGTTCTTTGTGACAGATTCAAACTTCTGGCAAACTCCTCAAGGAGAGAGAGAGACAACACACACCACGCCCTTATGTATAGCCCATAAGAGACTGCAGTGCAATCAATGTAAAAAAAATGCCAAAATTCTAGGCCATACCACTTACTCATTCAACAAATATTTATTGAGTAACTACCATGTGCCAGACACTGTTCTAGAGGTTGTGAATAAAACAATGAACAAATGCCAAGATTTCTGCCCAAGTTGAACTTCTATTTTAGTGGAGAGAGAGGAACAAAATATTTAAGTAAGCACCACAAGCGTTATGATAGATGAGCAAAAGCAGAAAATGATTGAAAACGCTGGGTTTTGTGATTTTAAAACAGGGTAATCAGGGAAGCTTTCACAGAGAATGTCAAGATTTGACAGGAATTGAGAGAAAAGAATACTGGAGAGAGACCCAAGAACAGTCTGCAAAAACCCTAAGGCAAAAGAATGCCTGTGAAGTCCAAGGAACATCAAGGCACCTGATGTGTATGGAATAGAGGGATCAAAGAAGAGAGTAAAACCAGATAAAGTCAGATGGGGGCCAGATCATAGATGATCTTGGGAGCTCTCCTAAGGAGTTTAGCTTCACGTGGGAAGCCACTGGAGGGTGTTGTTGTTGTTGTTGTTGTTGTTTACATGAAGGCAATTTATTAACAGAAAATATTTTGAGGAGACTTGTTCACAGACGGCGACCACAGCAACCCCCCTTCCAGCAGGTGCTGTCAGAGGAGATGGGGGTGACATCCTCAATCTGCGCATTGGAGGGTTTTGAGGACAGGAGTGAGATTATCTGGCTTATACTTAACAGAGTCGCTCTGGTTGCTGTATGGTGGAGGAGGACAAGGGTAGAAGCAAGAAGGTAAGTTGGGAGCACATTGCCATTTGCCCTTGATGGGAAAGCTGTGTAATTATTTACTCAACATTTCCGCAGAGTCCATAAAGGAAAAGAAAGTGCCTACAATTCTCTAAACTGATTTTGCCACCTGAAAATCTGCCACCATGCAAAAACTGGTGAAAAAAGATGGGCGCTCTGCACAGAAGTCCATCATTTAATTTCTAGATGACTGTTTGCCCCTAAGACGTTATATATTTGTTATCTGTAAGTGAGTAATCTACATAACTTACCAGATACTTTGAAGTAGAGATACCTTAGTAATAGTGGAAATTTACCCTCAAGTTTTTGCTGTCAAGCTATGAATGTTTTTCAGTCATCAAAGCATTATAACTAAAAAGAGAAGAAAAAAACAAAATTCCTTTAATGACATGGTGATCTGACTTGCTTTCCAACTAAGTTCTCAAATGTGGAAAGAAAGTATGGAGAAACCAAATTCATCACTGATAGAAATAATGCTTGGGCAGCCTGAATAGCTGAAATATTCTGCAGGGCAGGAGGGATACAGGGTGAAAGGAATCCTAGTTTGGAGAAATTAGGTCAAGGAGATAGAATAATGTTTTCCAGGCTGAAAGATGTCGGGGAAAATCAAAATCCAGAAGTATGAAGGAACTACATGCATTGGTTAGAAAGAGCTTGGAAGCAGAGGACACACACTGTTGGAAAATGGTTCAGGAAGGAAGTGCCAGGAAAGAGAAAAGTTCAATAATGAGGATTTCTCTGTACAGGGGACCAAGGGAGTTTCACCACTCAGATGCATGGAGTCTGCTCTGAAGGTAGTCCAGTCTGAACCTGCTGGTACGGCTGGAAAATCTAGAAGCAAAAAGGTCTTATTTCCTCCATGACTAACAGATCCTTCAGGGAGAGCTCTTTTTTGTGGCTTGTGAGGTTATACCATACCGATAGAGGACTGTGAAGCTAAACAGAGCTGACAGTTAAAGTCTGAAATTTTTATCAAGCTGAACTGAACACTTCAACTCTGTTCATACCCAAATTCCTTTATCCAGTTACAAAACTATTTTTAGACTACCAATGACTGACAAAGCAAGCACAATGGTTTGCTTTCCATGGGTGGGGAAAATACTAGAGGAGAAATAAGGCATAAGCCTCAGGGGCCCAAGGGCATTTATTGCTAAATCATAAAATCCTAAATGGGGACAGAAGTAGAGGTGATAATAGAAAGTAACCAACAACAAAAAAATAAGTTCATTGAGACAATATAAAAAAGTAAAAAACAGCCCTGCAAGACTCACTGAGGCCTGTGCAAGGTGGCCTGCACTAGGGCATGGTATCCTGTCCGTGTGGCCTTCTCTATGGCTCCCCCTGGGCAGAAAGGCTACCATCACCTTAGATCTCTAAGATGGACCAGGGCTACCTTATCCAGGACAGCAAGCTGATCAAAACAATGCCTCCACCGACTATGACCTGACAAAAGCATCAACCCTCTGGGTCCACTATGGTCAAGTGCCCAGTGACTGTGTCATGCTGAAAGGCTGTGTGGTGGGAACCAAGAAGCAAGTGCTCACCTTCCGCAAGTCCTTGCTGGTGCAGACCAAGCAGGAGGCTCTGGAGAAGACTGACCTTAAGTTCACTGACACCACCTCCAAGTTTGGCCATGGCCGCTTCCAGACCATAGAGGAGAAGAGAGCATTCATGGGACCACTGAAGAAAGACCGAATTGCAAAGGAAGAAGGAGCTTAATGTCAGGAACAGATTTTGCAGCTGGTGATGTCTCAATACAACTTATTTTCCACTGGGGAAAAAAAAAGTAAACAACAACAAAAAAAGGCTGGGCGCGGTGGCTCACGCCTGTAATCCCAGCACTTTGGGAGGCCGAGGAGGGTGGATCATGAGATCAAGAGATCAAGACCATCCTGGTCAACATGGTGAAACCCCGTCTCTACTAAAAATACAAAAAATTAGCTGGGCATGGTGGCACATGCCTGTAGTCCCAGCTACTTGGGAGGCTGAGGCAGGAGAATTGCCCGAACCCAGGAGGCGGAGGTTGCGGTGAGCTGAGATCGCACCATTGCACTCCAGCCTGGGTAACAAGAGCGAAACTCCATCTCAAAAAACAAACAAACAAACAAAAACAGATACTTCAGAGTCTACAGTTTGACTCCCTGGGTTAGAAACGTCAGCCTGCTACTCAAACTAGTTTTTGTTTTGTTTTGTTTTGTTTTTTGACAGTTTTTGCTTGCTTTCCTGGCTGAAGTGCAATGGCACGATCTCAGCTCACCACAACCTCTGCCTTCTGGGTTCAAGTGACTCTCCTGCTGCAGCCTCCAAGTGGGATTACAGGCATGCACCAATAAGTCCAGCTAATTTTGTATTTTTAGTAGAGACGAGGTTTCTCCATATTGGTCAGGCTGGTCTCAGACTCCAAACCTCAGGTGATCCACCTGCCTCCGCCTCCTAAACTGCTGGTATCACAGGCGTGAGCCACCGCACACAGCCCCTGTGTGTGTGTGTGTATGTATATATATATATATATATATTTTTTTTTTTTTTTTACCTTAGATATATCACTAAACTTCTCTGAGTCTTTCCTCAACTGTAAAATGGTAATAACTTAAAGGAGATCACTAATTATGATATATAAAGCATAGAGCACAAAGACAGTGTTCAACAGATCTTCACCTCTTTCTTTCATCGTCGTTCATATGGATTTGATCATAATGTAGCCAAAGATTAAAACTGCAAAACTACAAATGACTATGTAATTTGGTTAATCACTATAGCTGATTTAATTAGTAATGACTTCACCATGAGTCCCTTATTAATTCATCTTTAAATGAACCACAAAATTTCTCAGTTCATTATTTTAATAAACATTCATTGAAATTGTACCACAGACCATGTACCACACAAGACACTGTGCAAGACAGAAAGAACAATGTTGTTTTGATCTTCTGCAAGCCCACATCTTAGAGGCATATAAACAAAATAATCACCACTGTGATAAGCATTACCATAGAAGATTATACCATGAGTGTCCGAAAGAATAAATAACTCTACCTGAGGAAAAATTCTAGGCAACACTGACCAAGCACTTACTATGTGCCAGACAGTATCTTGAATACTTCACATGTACCAGCTCATTAAGCATGACAACCCCAATATGAAATATTATTTCCGTTTTGCATATCAGAAAGTCGAGGCATGGGGAAGTCAAATCACTTATCCAAGATCACACAGCTGATAAGAGACATGGTCAGGATTGGAATCCAGGCGTTCTGGCTCCAGGAACCACACTCCAAACTCTGTAGTGTACTGTGGATACCGAGGATGCTTTATAGAAGGTAACATAGGAAGCAGAACTTGCAGAATAAACAGTTTGCAAACCAGAGAAGGGAATCTGCATGGAGGGAACAGTATACATCAGAGTGTGTAAACTCTATGTTTGAAGACCATTTAGCAGTGCATACAGCCAAACTGGGGGAACAGATCAAAAAAAGAAGCCAAGGCTGATTAAGCTGCCTGTTAAGCCTCCCCAATATTTCCTCCCCATTATTCTATGAGACTTGGATTCCTTCCAAAGGTGCCAAAGCCTGCCTTCTGCCTCATCTTTGGTCTCCTTTCATTCAACAGCTTGACTTGTTGGCTCATCAGAGCAAATATCCTGTGAGGGAGAGTGATGGACTTAGCTGCTTCGAATAAACAAGATGCTTAAAAGTACCAACTATTTAATGCTATTTGGATGATCACTCAACACTCAGTATTTAAAAATGATTTTAGGTGTTTTGTCATATGACTGAAATGGCCGGTATTTTTGCCATATCAAAAGAGGCCACACTATAATTTATTCTTCCTTTCAATGGAAAATCTTCCTAATTTTCTATGCATTTTATGAGGGGTGGAAGTGACACAGAACTAAGGGTGATGCTCATTTTCACGAACTTTAGAAACCCTAGATTCTAGGATTTCCCTAAAAAGGAAATTACAAGGAAGAAAGCATTAGCTCTTTCTCAAAGTGCTTGCATCAGGCAATGTTTGCCTTTTGGTAAGTTGCTACCAAGAAAGGCTGCGGGAATAGAGCAAATAATATGATGTGGGGCAAAGTATCTGGAACTGTTGGATAAATCACATGGCTGGATAGCACCCAGAATGGCCCTACATCACTCTTAGCTCATGAGACATCAAGGTGAGAACATCCGTTCTGAGAAACAGCCATAAAGAGTTTAAAAAAACAGCCGTAGACCACTTACTGAAACAGCTTGTTCTCACAGGAAGGCAGGGACTGTGGGAACAACTCTGGAGATAATTAACATTGAAAGAAGGGTTTATGTTTCAGAGCAGATAAAACTTGAGTTTGTTATATAAGCAAAAAAGGACACCAGGAAAGGAAAACTTGAAAATACATGACAGAATGAGGATAAGAGATCAAGCAAAACCATAAAGATGACAGGAAAAGGGGCTCAAAATTTGCAGCTTGAGATGCTAGATAGAAAGAATAGAAAGACAACTTTCCCTGATATGGGAAAAAAGAGAGAAAGGATGTATGATGATTCAGAAGGTAAATGAAAGAGAGGGTTGGACTGCTACATGGCCTCGTGTGCTCAGTGAAAACAAAAGTTACCTAGTTTGACTCAGGGACCTGACACCCATCCTTGTTTCTGTCTTTCTTACTTCCCACATCAACCCACCACCTGGTTCTGCTGGTCCTACCCCCAAAGCATGTCTAACAACAAAGCCACCTTTATTCGTCCCCAGTGCCACCACCACAGTCCAAGCCACAATTATCTCTAGAACAGAGTCCTGCACAAGTTTTCCAGTTGTCCCATGCCTGTATTTACCCCGAATCCATTCTCCACATATCTGCCAGAGAGAGATTCCAAAAGTGAACATTGACTCCAGTTCCCTCTGGCTTTTCGAATACAATACAAATCCCTTAATCTGCCAAATTTGCCTTAGGTCTTGTTCAGCTTTCTTTTCCAGCCCTATCCTATGCCATTCTCTTCCCCCATCTATGGTTTAGCCATACTGACCTTTCCATTTTCAAACACACTTAGGCCTGTCTCCATGCAACTTGTTCTCACTGAAATGCTGCTTCCTGGTTCTTTCATTTATTTATGTCAGTATGGAGGGCTTCTCTTTCCTGAAGCCTTGAGCTAAATCCCTTCTTCTCAAAGGAGCTCTCAAAGACCAGCTTGTCTATGAAAATGCCATGCCTGCTGCCCTAAAGCCAGGAGTTAGTGGTTAAGAAGGTAGACTAAGGAAACTGATTTCGAAGCTTAGCTCCAACACGTGTGTGACCTCTAGGCAGCTGAATCTAATTGTTCTGTAACTCAGTTTTCCACCGTAAAATGGGAAAAACATAACATAGTCAGAGGCTGGTTGGAAGGGTTAAAAGAATCAAAAAACATAGAGGACTTATAATAGTATCTGGTCCATATAAACGTTCAGTAAGCACTTTTTATCATCACAGCATCCTCTTCACTTCCTCCTAATATTTTAGTCTGTATTTTTGTGTTTATATTTATTATCTGGTTTATCCACTATTTTATAAGCTACAGGAAAACAGAGAACAGGTCCATAACCCCGGTACCTAAGAGAATGCCAGCTATTCAGTCAATATTTTATGAGTGAATAAGCTATAGCATATCCAACTCAGTGTGTAGGTTCTGAGAAGGCCCAAACTGTTGTTGAGAAAGAAGGCTGAACTCATTAACCATAATAACCGTGCTAGCTAAGAATGTCCAAGAGAACAAGACATGTCTCTTAGAACAGAGTGGTTCCCAAGCTTGAAGGCATTGTAAGTGTATTAGTCCGTTCTCCCACTGCTATAAGGACATACCCAAGACTGGTTAAACTACAAAGGAAAGAGGATTGACTCACAATTATGCAGGGCTGAAGAGTCCTCAGAAAATGAATAATCATGGTGGAAGGAGAAGCGTGAGTGCCCAGCTAAGGGGGAAGCCCCTTATAAAACCACCAGATCTCGTGAGAAGTAACTTACTATCACCAGAACAAAATGAGAGAAACTGCCGCCATGATTCAATTGTCTCCACCTGGTCCCTGCCACAACACGTGGGGGTTATGAGACCTACAATTCAAGATGAGATGAAATTTGGGTGAGGCACAGCCAAACCATATCAATAAGGATCAGTAGAACGCTGATTGAAAGTCAGAGTGTGTCAGGTCAAAGGACAGAAAGTTGTGGTAAGAGAGAAAGTGTGTCAGTTTGAGGTGAAAGTGAGATCGAAATGCAGTTATTTTTACCCGCGTGACTATGGTGAGAGGACAGATGGAGGTGTTAAGGTTGAGAGGTCTAAGAAAGGGAGAGAACCAATGTATTAGAAGAATTACTGGGTGAAATTGAATTCCTTGAGTAGAAGCTGGGGAGAAGTCAGGAAGTAAAATGCTGAGTCAGGTGCTAAGGTCATTAAGAAGAATAAAAGAAGATCCCAAAGGTCAACCAATAACAGCAATGAGGATGGCAAAGAAATGGCCAAAGTGGCTGCCTGAGCTCCATGAGGGGAAAAAAAAGATTGACAAGTGTTGGAAGAAAAATCATCCAGAGCAGTAGCAAAGAGTGAGGAGATTGCCAGCACTCCTTCTTGAATTAAAAGTCTTGTGAATTAAAAGAAATGGGAGCATCCTGATGCAGAGATTAGAAATGGAATAGTCCAGAGGAATACATTAGTGAAGGGGAGAATGTAGTGCATTTTGGGGTCTTAGACAGATCTGACCAGTGTCAGAGCTGAAGAGATGCTGTGATATTGTGATAGTCATGACTCCCTGAGTTTTGTCTTCTGTTTTAAAAGGGCTGGGAAACACCGGCTGACTTTTAATATTATTCAGATATCTGTACCATTTCTGGTAGACTGTAATTCAACCACCATAAGCTTGCTTCATGTCTCCCTCTCTCAATCTCAGTCTCTCTTACTCACCATTTTTTCTCTGATCCAAAGGTGGGACACAAATGTCTTCCTACAAATCGATGGAAGCATCCTTCCCGCGGGCCTCCACAGGAAATATCAGGAAGGAAATGGCAAATATCAAGTCCATATTTAGGAAGAAGAAAACACCAGAGGCTACTGACAACATCATAAATCCCTAGGGAAAATCTCAGGCTGGAGTTTGTCTTGGCAGATACAGGAATTTGCTATTTTTTTCATCCTTCCTCACGTGCACTGCCTGGACAGCCTCTTCAGATCAGAGCCAAGACTACAGTTTACACTGGCCAAATCATGGGGAATCCTTGGGAGAAATAGTAGCCCTCAGCCCTCCCTCATTTTGAGCAGTAGGTCAGGTGAATTACTTCAAATACATACAAGGCCCTTCAGTTACCATGGTAACTGTTCCAAGAACCGTAACAACGTCAATCATAGAAACGGTGAAATCATGGCTTGAACCCGTCTTGCTGACAAAGATATCTTGAAAAGTAGCCACTACTTGGTGTCAGACTTTTTGCCTCTCATTTGGGAGAGAATGTTTTGTTTACATCCAATCAGTTATGGGAATAAGGGGAAATGGTGGTTAGTCATTTTCCTTCTGCTTCGCTGGGTCTATCTCTGTCTGTATTTTGCTGATATGCTTGTAACTCATTTTCTCTGCTTGAAATTACAGATGGAACAATTCGTTTTTTCACCTCTCTTTCCTGTATAGGTGTAAGCACTTGAAGACGAAATATTGATTTTTTTTCATCTACTTAAAAAAAATAGAACAGTGTGCTCATTTTCAATACATTGTGCCAGTTGTTTTAATTTCTATGTGCCTGTTTTGATGAAGCAACCTCACAATATCTGGAGATGAAGTTCTAATCCTGGGGCCCTGAAATAAGATCCAATGTCTTTTGTCTACACTTAGAAATGGAGCAAACATCTCAGTTGACAGATTCTTACATGAATAGAGAAGTTAAGGAGTCATTCTTATTTCTTTCCTGTTTGTGAACAATCTACACTCTGGATTCTAAGGTGAAATCCCACAGAAATAAAACACTAAAATGGCATATTCATGACACTAGGAGCCTACATGATACTACTTACCAAAAAAAAAAAAAAAAAAGGATTCTGGCATATTATCATTCAAAATCTGTTGATTGCTTAGTTTTATTTTTTAGCGTACATTGTAGGGCACCCTAGTCCTACATAATATTTTTATCTTTTCTTTAGAATTCTAAAAAGTCTCAAAGCAAGAACATTTCTGTGAGTTTATTAGAGCCTTCAGTTTGGATACCGAATTGTTACAAAACCAATATTTTTTACATTTTTCTTCTTAATAATGTTCTTTGACCCAGATAGAACTTAAAAAATAAGCTATTTGATGTCTAAAATTGCAGAGATAAACTGAAATTGTGTTCTGAAGGTGTCTTTTCACAAGAAAAATGGAATTTTTTAAAAAATGTAATCAAGTTATACAGAGCCTCTCACCCTCAGGTCATCAGTTCAGATTTGTCTGAGCTTGGAAAGTTATACAAAGTTGCGGTGGTTGCTGGGCTCTCGGTGCCCTATAAGAAATGAGTTGGAGGTCCCAGGGGAGGTCACTGCTTTGTAGTCATAATCCTGTAATTGACACCTATGAGTTCTTTGGAAAATAACAATTCTAACAGAAGTCCATAGATTTTGCCTAAGAATTCTCTCCAAGTTGGTCCTAAGCACCCTTAGGTTTGCAAATGTATGTTCGCAAATGTAAGCTCCCCACTCTGGAAATCCTCTGCACTATATCCTACTTAATTCATTCAACTGAGGTGTTGACAATCCTGAGGAGAATATAGATGAACAAGGAGGAAAAGCAGGAGGAAGACAATGAGAAGGAGAATTTTTAAAACTAAGCAAACAAAAAAAATTAACTAACAAATAAATAAATAAATGGAGAAAAAGATGAGAAGAGGCAAGAAAAGTAAAGGAAAAAAAGAAGAAAAAGAAAAAGGTGAAAGGAAAAAGAAAAAGAAATGAAGAAATAGGATATGTGAAATTCTATCACGGTGGCGAGTAGAGATCTCTCCATTCCAACAGAGTACTTGTATTTATTGTTCTCACAAGGATCTTTCTTGTATAGGAATACTTTTTGTAAATCCTAAATTTGATTTTTAAAAGTCCAGACTTAATAATCATCCTCCAAAGAAAGGAAGTCACTGGCAAAAATGCTTTTTGCACACTGTATGTGAAAGAACCCAAGGAGGCTCAGGAATTTATGTTTCCCATACTTTGAAAGTTGGGGTGCAGATAGGACAACAAGAAGAGATTTAATTGAAAGTCTGGATTAGAAGCTGCAGCTGGGTTCTCTCTTCCCCAGTTCTAGTAGAAGACTAGGTGTATACTCTATGAAGGGGTTGAACCAGATACTCTGTCTGGTCTTAGGGTTATTTAGCGGAGCTGGAGGAGATTTCATACTGAAAACTGAAAGATTAGGTGAGGTCTACTTACTGAATGCAGAGATTTACCAAACTCAGCAACAAGAATGCTGGAACCAAGAATATCTCCACTAGAAGGGAGATCAGAAGATTGATACTTGAAAAAATTGCTCAACTGGATAAAAAAGACCTAAAGTTGCTCATAGTTGCTTTGGTCCTGCACAGCCCTGCCAGATCATCATACAGTGAAACTCACCAGGTAACATCTGCTCACAGAATGATCATTTCCTCCAAGGTTGTAGTATCTCACTCTGAGCAAAAATGCCCACATCATCAGATACTTGAGGGAAAGGTTCTAATGTGAAAAAGACCAAAACAACAAACAACAGTAAAAGAATCACAGGGAAAAAAAGTAATGCAGAGAACAGAAGAAAATATCTCCAAAAACTAGCCTCTTCATAGAAATAAAAATATTGTCAGGATAAAGTAAGAATATGCATATATTTTTTTAAAAAACCAATTTGTATAAAGTAAGAGATTTGATATTAAAAATAAGTGAACAGGATTAAAATCGGTGAATGGGTTGCAAGATAAAGTTGAGGAAAGCTCCCAAAAAGTATAAAATAAAGAAAAAGGGATAGAAATTGGGCAGGTAGAGGGGCAGATAAGAAAATTAGAGCCACATCTGGGAGGCCTAGTATACAAATAATAGGATTTTCAGAGAGAAAGAGAGAGAGAGAGAGAGAGAGAAGAACAGAGAAACCAGAGAGGAGAGAATTGAGGGTTGTTCTTCCCTTTTCTTGAAAAATAACACGTTCCCAAAATAGCTTTGGTGTCCAGTCCTATTGAATCTAAGAAGCCCAACAGCCTTTCTTCATCATTTTCTTCTTTATCCACTTCAGTTTAAATTGGCAGTGTTTCTACTCATACAATTCCATCTCTATTCCTAGCTTCTGTTATAGTGATTGATTAAATGTATAGCTCACATTCATACTAATCTTCTTTTCAAATGGTTGTTCAGCCACACCCCTGACGTTTCCCTGAGAACAAACTTTTTCACTTTTTGTAATATGTATAGCTGATAATTTCTAAGTCTTCAAGTTTTGGTTCCTTTTTGCTTAACAATTCTTCTTCAGCTTCTCTCTGTCACTCTCATTTTACTACAAGCAGTCAGGCAGTCAAGGGGACCTAGGCTGCACCTTCAACATTTTGCTCAGAAATCTTCTCAGTTAAATATCCAATTTTATCACACGTGAATTATACTTTCACAAAACACTAGAATACCATTCAGTCAAGTTCTTTGCCACTTTATAACAAGGATTGCCTTTCCTCCAGTTTCAATAACTTACTCCTCCTTTCCATCTGAGACTTCGCCAGAATGATCTTTAATATCTATATTTCTATCAACATGATTATTCTGTTCATGATTATATAGTCTCTAAAAAGGTAAAGGCTTTTTTCTCCAGTTTTTCTTTATTTTTAAGTCTTTACCAGAATTGCCTTTATCATCCCTATTTCTACCAATATTTCCTTTATGGCAAATAGACTTTTTAGCTTGCTCCTCAAAACACTTCCAGACTCTACCCATCACCCGGTTCCAAACTTGCTTACACACTGTTAGGTATTTGTTACAGTCCCAGCACCCTACTTGCTGGTACCAATATCTTAGTCTGTTTGGGCTACCATAACAAAATCAGACTGGATGGCTTAAACAACAGATATTTATTTTCCTTCAATTCTAAAGGTTAGACGTCCCAGATCAAGATCCCGAAGGGTCAGTTTCTGTTGAGGGCTCTCTTCCTGCTTGCAGATGACTGCCTTCTGGCCAGGTATTTTACATGGTAGAGAGGGGCAGTCTCTTTCTCCTCCTCTTCTCCTAAGGACACCAGTCCTATGAATTAGGGTCTCGCCCTTATGACCTCACTTAACCTTAATTACCTTTAGAGCTCCTATCTCCAAATACAGTCCCACTGGGAATTAGGGCTTCCACAAATGAATTGTGTGCAGATGCAATCATTCCACAGCAGGTGACAAGGAGGATGTTACTAAAAGTATGACACCGACAGACTGAGGAATTTGAATATAAAGGGAGGAGGTATATATGTCTGGCAAAGAGTTTAGAGATGCATTAGTAATCATTCATAGAAACACAAATTAAACCAAAAAAATGGAACCATTATTAAATGCAGCAAAGTAAGTGAAAAAAGCCGTAATACCCCAATCTCTCACAAAGAAAATATAATTATAATACACTATATGACTCATGCATAAAGTGTAAATAACGTTTATTTAGTCATAATTATGTAAACACTGAATCTGTTTTTAGACTTCAGTGCAGATGGTAGAGTTAATCATCCTTTCCCAACTCTGGCTTACCAGCATGAGTCTTAGTGCAGCCCCTTCCTTACTTATTTATTTCTCTCTCCTTATTTCCATTCCCCTACAGGCAAATACCCTGATATGTTTCAAGTATATATTTCATTTCTATGAGTTCTTTTAAAATGTGTATTATATTATTTGTGTACATTTTTAATTTACATATGTGGTATTTCTAAATATCTAATTTTTTTTGCTTTTTTTACCCAGCATTTAAAAACTCTATCCATATTGCTGTTGTGTTTTAGTGTGTTTTGTGCTGCTACAACATAATACCACAGCCTTGGTAATTTACAATAAACAAAAATGTAGTCTCACAGCTCTGGAGTCTGGGAAGTGCAAGGGCCGGCATCTTGCAAGGGCCTTCTTGCTACATCATCCCATGGTGGAAAGTGGAAAGGCAAAGGGAAGACAAGAAAGAGCATAAGGAGGCCAAATTCATCCTTTAATAAGGAACCTATTCCACAAAAACAAACGCACTCACCAGATAATAGCATTAATCCATTCATTAGGGCAATGTCCCTATAACCCAAACACCTTCTGTTCAGCCCCACCTCCCAGTGCTTCTGCATTGAAAACCAAGTTTCCAATACATGAACTTCGGAGGGGTACATTTAAACCATGGCACTGTGTATACATCCAATTCATTGCTTCTAATTCATAAGAATTCCTTAATGTATATCCAACAACTAGATTGTCTCCAATTTCCAGCTGTCACAAACAAAGTAGGAAATTTCTGTAGGATGAAGATCCTGAGGTGTGATGGAGTTGACTAAGGGGTGGCAGAGTGCTCCCCAAATTGCTGCCCCAATATGCACTTCCATCATGGTACTTTGTAGTTCCTGTATGATTATCACATACCTGCCAATCTTAGCACTATCCAGCTTTTCAGTTCTGACTTTACTGAGAGGAGTAAAGTAATAGTTTGATGTTTTCCTCTTTCTAATCACCAGTGGGTTAGAGCATCTCTTCATCTGCTTGCTAATCATATGAGTTTTTTTTTAAATTACTTGTTCACACCTTTGCCCATGTTTCTATTCATATCCCTTATTTTCTTTTTGCCTTGCAGAAATGCCTTTTATAGTCTAGAAGCTAATCTCTTTTGGCTCAGGAAACTAAGCAAACAAGAATACAAGACCATTAATAATTCCATGAAAACCAAGTGCAAATAAAAGGAAATTTAATCAAACTGATGACATGACTCAGATGTAAATAATATTTGTACAGTCATAATAAGGTAAACACTGAAGTTTGACATAACAAAAACATTATTCTCAGAAGGTAGGAGAAGTGAAAGCAAATGGAAGGAAGATGTAAAGAGTATAATAACTAAATCCTCATATTTTATGAGAAGAATACAATGGAAGATAACTTTTATGGTCGAATTATGTCCCCAGAAAAATATATATGAGAGTCCTAACACCCAGTACCTCAGAATGTGACCCTAATTAAAAACAGGATATTTGGCTGGGAGTGGTGGTTCACGCCTGTAATCCCAGCATTTTAGGAGGCCAAGGCAGGTAGATCACCTGAGGTCAGGAGTCCGAGACCAGCCTGGCCAACATGGTAAAACCCTATCTCTACTAAAACTACAAAAATTAGCCAGGCGTGGTAGCAGGTGCCTAGTCCTAGCTACTTGGTGGGCTAAGGCAGGAGAATCACTTGAGCCCAGGAGGAAGAATTTGCAATGAGCTGAGATTGTGCCCCTATACTCTAGCCTGGGCCACAAGAGTGATTCTCCATCTCAAAATAATAATAATAATAATAATAATAATAGGATATTTACAGAGGTAATCAAATAAAAAGGAGGTCATTATATGACCGGTGTCCTTATAAGAAGGGAGAATTTGGGCATAGCAATAGACATGCACAGAGAGAAGACCACATGAAGAAGACACAGAGAAGAAGCCACATGAAGATGAAGGTAGTACTTGGTTTAATGCATATACAAGCCAAGGAACACCAAAGACTGCCAGAAAACCACCAGAAGCTAGGGAAGAGGCATGGAACATTCTTCTTCACAGCCCTGGAAGAAACCCACTCTACTGAGAAGTGATTTGGGACTTCTAGCCTCCAGAATGTAAGACAATGAATTTTTGTTGTGTAAGCCACCCAGTTTGTGGTACTGATGGTAGCAGTGGCCCATCTGGAGTGGCTGCTGCATGACACTGGCTGCAGTGGGGAGGTACATTCAAGGCCATGTGTTCCACAAAACTGGTGGGAGCCCTACCCACTTCTGAGTTGGAGGGGCTGGAGCCCTATCCTCCCAGGCACAGCAGCAGCCACCCAGCTACAGCTGCAGACCCAAACATTCCTGAATTCTTGGGGGCCTGGGAAGCCCCTCCTACCCCCACAGGCTCAGAAATGACTGCATGGCCTCTCCCTGCTCCTGGTGCCTGCTCCAATTTTGGAGCAAAGTTGTGGCTGAGCCTGGGTGTTGTCATGACCCAGCTGGGTGTGTACACATTCAGGGTGATACTGACACGCCAGTCCCCTGCCACCTCGGCCCCCTGCAAGCTTTGGGCACCAATGAGCATCAGAGAAGGCTGAGGGGGAGCTGAGGGGGGTTTGGTGCAGGCACCCCTCAGCATGAACAGCCTGGGCACCATGGAGGACATATAGCTGGTGGCAGGAGGCAGACAGGCTCCTAGGTGGAAAGGGGTGGATACCCAGTGAAGCCCCACCTTCAAGCCATGGACAGCCTGAAGCCTGGGGGCCAGGCTGCCAGTTCTGCAGACTGGAATGAGAACTTATGGTGCTTTTTCTGGGCCCACCCACGGACCAATCAGCAGGTAACTTCCTCCTCTCTGAAGCCATAAAAACTGTGGATTCAGCTAAACTCAGGCAGATGACCAGACAACCTGCCTGCAGGTAGGAGCTATCCACTCTGGGTCTCTCTCCTCGCCACTGAGGGCTGTAGAGATGTTGGGATGACCTGCCTGTGAATAGGAGCTACCCATTCCAGGTCTCCTCTCCGCTGAGGGCTGTAGAGATATCAGGACGACCTGCTATGGACAGGAGCTACCCATTCTGGGTGTCCTCTCTGCTGAGGGCTGCAAATATGATGGGACAACCTGCCTGTGAATAGGAGCTACTGCGATGGGGTGGGCAGCAGCCCACTCTGGGTCTCCTCTCTACTGAGAGCTGCAGACTTGACAGGATGACCTGACTGCAGAAAGGAGCTACCCACTTCAGGTCTTCTGAAAACAGTTCTGTCACTCAATGAAACTCCTTTCAACTTGCTCATCCTCCAGTTGTCCACTTACCTCATTCTTCCTGGATGCAGAACAAGAACTTGGGACCCAGGAAAAGATCTGTAACACAAACGAGGCTGAAACACACTCACCCACCCCACTCACCAAGTTGTGGGTGACAAGAAGGAGAGAAGAGCTGCCACCCTTTGAGAGTCCAGACCTAGGGGCTCCCCAATCCAGGCCCATAACACCCTCTTTGGGGATCTGTGGTTCCTGGCATGTCCAAGCTTCCAGGAGCCACTGCATTCTCCCGTCCAGGTACAGATGCCCACAACAGAAGCCATGTGCAATACATCTGGTCCAGCACAGCCTTGCATGAAACCAGTACCTGTATTGGTGCCTGGAGCTGTCCACCCCATCACAGCAGCCAGCATGCCTGGCTATGCGCAGTGGCTAGACCCCATGCTCACTAACACTCCTCTTACCACTCCATGCCTGGCTCACCCTTGGCATGTATGGGATCCAGGCTGGCAGCATGAGCTGAGTGCAGCCTGCTGCGCTGAGAGAGAAGGAGCCCAATAGGCACGAGCAATACTCAGGCAAAAGGTGCCACCAGCCACAGAGGTGTCCAGTTGGCGAAGCAATACCCCAAGTATCCCTCGTCAGTACTTTGTTATGACAGCCCTAATAAACTAATACAATACCTTTAAAAAAAGAAATGACAGTATATACATGTTATTTTAAACATGGAGGCAAACATAAACGTAAGTGGCTGCTTCTGGAAGTGGAAACTCGTGGGAACAGAATGTGCATTGGAGGCAGGAGATGGCTGTATTCTGTTGTAAATTATATAAAATTCCTTGACTATTTTAACTGTGTTCTTATAATTTTTATAAAAATATATCCTTAAAAAGCTATCTTGACATATTTTAAGCTTCTGCAGCATCTTAGAGAAAATAATTTCTACATTTTTACTACCTTAATAGCATCAAAGATTTTTTGTGTGTGTTCTATTAAAAAAATATTGGTTTTTAGTTTTCAGAGTACATTGTTGTATGGTTTTGTGGCCTTTTAAAATATTAACAATCCAGAGACTGGGACCTAAATTCAAGTGGTTATTAGCAGGCAAAAGCATTCACATTTCAAGACTTTGGATGGTGAGTGGCAGAGTATTGTAGATGGAGAATGAGCTTTAAAGGAAGATAGAAATAGGACTGAGTCCAAATGCTTCTGCTTATTCACTTGTAGGACCTGAGGCAAGTCCATTTAAACTCAGTTTCTCAATTTCCTCATCTGTACAACTGGATAATAAAGGAGTACTTCCTGGGAATTCTGTGAGTCTTAATGAGAAACACTTAGCACAATGCCTGGTTCATGGTAAGCACTTGATAAATGGTAGCCATATGGTTATGATAGCCATAATAAGAAGCTCTTCCATTCTTTGCCAACTATATCTTCAGCCCCTAATTTAAAATCCTTCCTTCTACTCCAATATCCTTCACTCTTGATTCAAACCATTGGTTCATTTTGCTCACTGTTTATGTGATTATGTTAAAGAACATAAATCTTAAAAGAATCACTTTTAAGTCCTAGATCTACAAATTACCGTACTGCTGGCATCAAGCAATTCATTTATATTTTCTGAGCCTCAGATCCTCACCTGTAAAGCCCATTAACTAATACCTGTTGTGATAATTAAATAAGACAAAGAATATAGAAATGTCCACAACAATAACAGGTAGAGTATAGATGCTCCATTTATGGGGACACAAGGCAAAGCTTATAGGCAAACTCACTTCCCAATATATTAAATTAAGTCATGTTAAACAAACACCTCATATTCTTTTGCTATCTCATGGAAACATTTTGTGAATATTTAAAAGCTAGCTCCACCTTTCAAGAGAATACTTGAGAGACATGAATATTGTAGATATGTGAAATATACATCAATTTCCAACCCCTTTGCTTTGTAATATGCCAAAAAATTGGATTTACACAGTGCTTGAAGCAGAGCAAACTATCCATGCTACATTAATTGAATTAATTTCCAATGAAATCCAGAACTTTGCAATACTTGACAAAGTTCAAAGGAAAGGTAATATGAGCAAGCAAATGTTTATAAGAAATGTAGTAAAGCTTAAAACAAGCACATATTTGTCAGTATTGCCCGCCATTCAAAAACAATCCAACTTGCAAAACTTCGAATTTACAAAGCACCTAAAACTGCCATCACAAAAAGATTCCCAGAGTCCTCAATGAATTCCTTCAAATAGTGGTCTTCCCAAACAGCTTTTAAATCATCTGATTCTAAAAATCTGCCTTGCACACAAATCTTCATGAATACAGCTATTTCCCGAATGAAGAACACTCAAAATTAGAACAAGATCCCTCCTGCTTTGATGCCCATTATCAAAGTGAGCAGGGGCTGAGTTTAAATCACCATGCCCCTGCTCGAACAGTCTTGTTCCCTCTCATCCTCACCACCGCTGTGGTATCCTGTCGGGGAGAAGACATAAGGCTCTCTAAATAGTTGAGTTCAGCAATCCTCTAAAATGCTGATGCAGCTCCCTTGGCTAAGTGAATGCAATATTTCTGTGACAACCTTCCATAATGCAAGGAGCAGCTCTCTTAGGTCAGCAGAGGTTATAGTGGTTCCCTGTCAACTGGGAGAGATTACTCCAAGTTTCATTTGTAGCTGAGAAGAATTTCTCCCCTCTTTTTGTTTGGATAAAATCCACACCTAGCACAAAGTGCTGAAAGACATCCTTGAAATGTGTCTTCTCTCACAATTCTTCCATGTCTGGGACTATCCCCCACACATGGGCTTGATGGCTATTGCTAGTATAATGTGGATAGCCATCCAAGTCCCATGTTGTCCATGGGACTAAAATCAGCCATAGTCTGTTATTACCAAATAACAAAGATAGAGACAGCTCCCTATTTTTATTTATGAGGCAACTTAACATACTTTATTATCATGTGTTCTTTCCAGAAACTATGTAACACAGGGATTGTCACCTTCTTGGTACACACAGGGAAATAAGTCTCTGAACACGGGCTTCTTTGTCAATGCTCCTCCCCAGCTGCTACATCCAGATATGAGTTCATGCTTTTGATGAGGTATGAATAGAGTGACGCTAGACCATGTGCCTTCAATCAGAGTACCTGCAGGCCCCATCACTCCTGTGGCATCCACTGCAGCCCAGCAGAAGTCTGGGAAAGAAAGACAATCTTTCCCACACAATGCAAGCACACAGGTCCACTTAGAAAGGAGGAAGGCAACAATTGAGTTGTCAGAACTCTGAAAGCTCAGGGACTATTGAGACCTTCTATGTGAAAATGAGGTTGCAATTTAATTATAAGAAGAAATTACATTTCTTGAGCACTTGCCATGTGCCAGACACCATACTTTGTGTTTTTCGTGTATTATCTCACTTAATTCTTGAAACAAACCAAAGTGGTAGTTACTATCATTTTCCCTATTTTTCAAATGTGGGAACACAAGGAAATTAAATTGCTTACCTAAGTGCCGCCGCAGCCTGAACTCTAAATCTCTCTGCTCTGCTGTCCCCACCACTGTCCCATCTGCCTTGTTTCCTTTCTAACAATAAAATGTCCCCAGTGCTCCAATCATGCATTAATGTGGCCTTCGACTTGGAAGTCAGGAATCTTTTTTAGTTTTCAGAGGAAATTGAGAGCATCTACTCATCCCCATTTGATAGTCATAAAAGAAACAGTCCATTTCAATGCTACTGCCTGGCATTTCATTTTCATCAACTCGCATTTTCACAGCACAAAATATATCTAAGGTACAGATGGATTTTTAGAAAACTTTCTTCTCTGCTCAAAGGTATCAAACCCCATGTTTAGTTTGCGATTTGTTTTAACATCTGGAAGCTGGATGTGCCTCAGTGTGCTAGAGATTTAAAGGTGAATGACAGTTCCTGCCAATGAGAAGCTGCACTGAGAGGTGGCGAGCAGGAAACAACCAGCTGCAATACAACAAGTGCTACATTAATGGTGTAAACCAAGTGTGGACCGAGAATAGAGAAAAAGTAACATGTACACTGTGAATGGCAGGACTATGACTTCAGTGAGGTGGTGATTTTTCAGTTGAACTTCAAAGGTCATGTAGGAGTTGATCACAGACTTGGCATGGCCAAGGAATGACTGGTGCACAGGGGCCACTGGGTATGGGTTGGGGGCATGTTGTGTAATAAGATCACAGATGGTGAGGGGGGAAAATTGTAAAGAATCCTGAATTCATCATGATATGTAATGAGATTTGCTTAATTTACATAGCGCCTTCACCTTCATTTTCACTTGTTATCCAAATTAATGCTGTAAAGTTATTATTTTCTCCTCTTTGCAGAAAGTCAGAGAGGTCAGGCCCAAGTCCTCAAAGTTGTAGCAAGAAACTTTTTATTACTTGGCCTTAAAATCTAATGCTGTTTCCAATACTTAAAAAAAAAAAAAAAAAAAAAAAGCAGACTGCCTTGAGGAAGTTAGAAAGCCCAGAGATAGTTTCCAGCTTCATCCATGTCCCTGCAAAGGACATGAACTCATCCTTTTTTTATGGCTGCATAGTATTCCATGGTGTATATGTGACACATTTTCTTTATCCAGTCTATCACTGATGGGCATTTGGGTATGTTCCAATCTTTGCTATTGTAAACAGTGCTGCAATGAACATACGTGTGCATGTGTCTTTATAGCAGAATGATTTTAAATCCTTTGGGTATATATCTAGTAACGGGATTGCAGGGTCAAATAGTATTTCTGGTACTAGATCCTCGAGGAATCACCACACTGTCTTAAACAATGGTTGATCTAATTTACACTCCCACCAACAGTGTAAAAGCATTCCTATTTCTCCATTTCTCCAGGATCTCCATTTCTCAGGAAAAAGTTGTTTCCTGACTTTTTAATGAACTCCATTCTAACTGGCATGAGATGGTATCTCAGTGTGGTTTTGATTTGCATTTCTCTAATGACCAGGGATGATGTGCTTTTTTTCTTTTTTTTTTTTTTTTTTTTTTTGAGACGGAGTTTCGCTCTTGTTACCCAGGCTGGAGTGCAATGGCATGATCTCGGCTCACCGCAACCTCCGCCTCCTGGGTTCAGGCAATTCTCCTGCCTCAGCCTCCTGAGTAGCTGGGATTACAGGCACATGCCACCATGCCCAGCTAATTTTTTGTATTTTTAGTAGAGACGGGGTTTCACCATGTTGACCAGGATGGTCTCGATCTCTTGACCTCGTGATCCACCCTCCTCGGCCTCCCAAAGTGCTGGGATTACAGGCTTGAGCCACCGCACCCAGCTGATGTGCTTGTTTTCATATGTTTGTTGACACAGGAACAGAAAACCAAGTACTGCATATTCTCACTCATAAATGGGAGTTGAACAATGAGAACACATGGACATAGGGAGGGGAATATCACACACTGGGACCTGTCAGGGGCTGGGGGGCTAGGGGAAGGATAGCATTAGGAGAAATACCTAATGTAGATGATGGGTTGATGGGTTTAGCAAACCATCACGGCCCGTATATACCTATGTAACAAACCTGCACGTTCTGCACATGTATCCCAGAACTTAAAGTATAATAAAAAATAAAAAATTTTTTAAAAGCCCTGAGACAAATCCAGGGGAAGATCTCTCTGAAATGTTCACATTTCATTTAATTCTATGCTCTTAGTCTTTGACACACTGCCGACAAGAAGAGCACAAGGTTAGCAGCCATACGCTATGGCCACTGCTCTTAGCTTTTTCTTGAATGTTGTCTCCATTCACAGTGCATTTCTCAAGGGTGGTAGAAGTTAAGAAATTAAGTCGTGGAATTTTATATAAATGAGAAAAAAGCTTGAAGTCAGTTTCGGAATTTCCTGCCTTTGCTCACTCAAAGGTTGTTTTAGCAAGGCTAATTCATATCTATTTTTGTTTATTTACTTATATATTACCTCATTAGAAAAAGATTTTGCAGCCATTCATACAACATACAAAAAGTAGTAAAATATTTGTTTCTAAATCATCGCAACAAAAGAAATTGCATTAGAATAAGAGAGACAAGTCAAGGGAAAAACAGAATATTGTTAAGCAGGTGATGGGATCGCTACCATAGCTGTTTTTAAAATTTCCCCTAAGTTTCCCAATAGACAAAACAAAATCAGAAACTAATTAGTAACATATTCATGAGGAGAAAACATATGGGCTCCTTGGAAGCAGCAAGTATTTCCTTGTGCTAAATTCTAAAATAAATTTATCTTATGAAGTGTCCTATAGGGAACTCGGAGATGCAGTGAATGACACCAACAATGAAATTTGTGTATGCTTCAAATGCAACGGAGGGTTCTTCCTGCAGTTCACAGTGTTCTCCAACTGCATGCGGGCTCCTATGTCTTCATGTCCATCAGCCCATCTTTCTTTCTGCTTCCCTTTCCTTCTGTTGCTCAGAGTGCACATAACGCTAGCACACACACACACACACACACTCTCTCTCTCTCTCTCTCTGGGAGCTCCCTCATGCCCCAGAGGGCATTTCACATTGGAGGCATGCTTCCCCCCCCCCCCCCCACCCCGCTTATCAGCAACATATTTTTCAAATTAGCACTTGGTAACTTTGAGGGAAACCCAGACCTTTTGGGGAAGAGAGTGAGAGGCCAACTGAAAAAAACAAGAGGTCTGCTTTTTTCTCAGCTTGTTATAAATTTGCAATACAAGCAAAGAAAAATAAACACCCAGATTCTGCAACTAATATAAAAGTTCCCTGGATTGATGTGTTACCAAGGCTTGGTCTTCCCCCAGATCCTCTGCTATTTACAAGCAAGAAGCTATTTCTCATGTGGAAGAGGCAAGCATGCAGCTTTGGTCCTCCTCCTCCCAGTCTTCATTACTGTGTTTCCCAATTGCTGGATGAGAGGCGGGTGGACAATAGTTAAATAGAAGGCTCTTCCCAGGAGACCCATGGATTCCATCCTGCCCAGGCAGCAACACTAGTTTCTGGTGTATGAAAAACGTCTACTTCTGAAGCTGCTTTTAATTCAGTGAGACACCTCACTGCTACTGGCAGAGGAGAGGTTCAGGAGGCCCAGCTGATCTTAATTAACAAATGGGCAGATCTCTACTCTTGCCAAGACCTTCCCTGCGGCCTCTTTCCTGCCCCTCGTGAAGACTGTTCTGATCTTGACTAGGGACTAAAGATGGGGAAAGGCTGAAAAGGAAGATTTTCTCTGGGAAAAAGTTGGGACTAGATCAAGAAAAGTGATTTCTCCATTTTGTTTAGGGAAGTTGCATTTAGGGTCCAGTGGAGTGCTGTGGTGGAGGAAGTCATGATTTCGTAGTCAAAGGATTCCAGTTTTAATCCTGGCTCAGCCAATTGCTAATGATGTCCTTGGACAAGTCCTCTTTGAACCCCAGATTTCTCCTCCATAAAATAGGGACAAGTCTCTGTAGCTATAAACATAGTTGAGATAATATTTGTGAACAGGCTTCAACTGCTAAGTACTTTGCAAATTCTAGTTGTTATGAGTGTAGGAAAATATTCTACCTCCTAAACCCTGGAAGTTGGCAATGGAAGATCTGGTTTCCAAACTCTCTCAAGTCTTTTAGCTCCAATATTTACTAGCTGGATTGTTTCCAGTCAATCCTTTGTTTTATCTGAGCCTCAGTTTCCTGCCATAAGAATGCTGACAAAGGAAGTCACCTCAGATCCCAGGGCTGTGGCGAGAATCAAGTAAGACTAACCATCAAGAAGTACTTTGACAACAGTAAAATGCTAGACAAATATGAGCTGTTAATTTTATTAAGTAACAGCCCAGAGGCCTGACCTCTGGTATGAGCTTTGCATGTGTCTTTGCCCTTGGTGCTTTCTCAGCTGGATTCATCACATTCTCCTACAAGCTGTCTTTCCCCCCGACAGTTATTTATTTCCTTTCTCAATAACCACATTCCTTGAGTGGAGCCCCAGATTCCATGGGGAGAATGAATCTATTCCTGTCTTTAAGGAACTTAGATGAGGCAAGGCAGAGAATAAATAACTAAAATGGCTGAAGGAAGACAGGGTATAATGGAAAGAATACAAATCCTGAAGTCGGAAAAGCTGTTTCTGATCCCAGTGCTGGCTAAGTGATCCAGAGTGAGTCTCTTGGCGTCTCTGAGTTTTAATTTCTTTTTCTGTAAAATGTGTCTCATAAAAATAATAACACCTGCTTCATACACTTATAATAAACACGCAATAAGATAATGCCTACTCTCATTGCTGTATAAATGTTATTTTTACTATTATCTGAAAGTAGCCGGTGCCTTAACAATAAAGATAGCTACAACTTACTGAATGCTACTATGTCCCAGGTACTGTAGATGGCACTTTACTGGTGTTATTGCATCTACTCCTCACACTAGGAGGGGGGAGTTATCTCCATTTTACAGATGAGAAAACTGAAGTTCAGAAAGGTTAGGAAAGTAAGTTGTGGAGAAAGTGCTAGATCCCAGGTCTGTCTGATTGCAAAGCTCACATTCTATTACCTATTTGATTTTTTAAATAAAGTAATATAGTAACAAATACAACTTCTCAGGATTCATTTACTAGAGTAAGAGTGGATTTCTGCAGGTGCTTTCTGCTCATAGTAGACTTTCAGTACATGTGTTCTTACTTGGCTTCCCCCAGAAGCAGACCCCAAGACAAAGATGTGAAGGTAAGTATTTTATGTATGAGCAATCCCAGGAAATTCCAATAGGGCAGTAGAGACATGGACAGTCAATGAAGGGTTTCTTGCCAAGCCAGAAGTTTGAGTCTATCGAGAACTCTGGGGTCATTGTAGAAGATTCATCTCAGATTTTTTCCCCGTTGAGTGAGTGAACTAGTACTGTATTTATACACAAACTTCTATTTGGAATTAATTTTGGTTATTCTGAGGCAACCCAGGACACACACACACACCAGCAGGGAGGAAGGATCTTTCAAGCAAGAAATGCAGATGCTGAAAACCATAGCATCACTGAGTTCACATAAATGAACCAAGATCAAGAGAATGTGCCAGTATATGGTAGTGGTGAAGGGTTGGGTAGGATGGGGAAAAAAGACAGACAGAAACATAAAGAGAGTTATCAAAGCACTGGCTTGAGGATTTAATAGGCTCCAATCCTTTTTATCATTTGAGGTCATATACATTAAGAGACCTGAGGCAATTTTTCATTTTCTACCCAATAAGAAGATTATAAATCTATAATTCTTTGCATATAACTTTGTAGTGGCTTCCCTTTAAGTGGGCTACACTTCCTTACCCTTTAACTGGGTGCTTGACCATGTGACTTACTTTGATCTGTGGAATGGTAGCAGATAAGACACAAGCAAAGGCTTGGAATAGGTTGTTTACTGGGACTGGTACTCTTATATGTTATGTCAGAGTTACCCTCTTGGTTGCAAAAGACAGATGAGTTACATCAGCCAAGCCCAATCTAGATGAGCTGTACTCAGTCAGTTACAGACACATGAGTGAAACCAGCCTAGATCAACTGAGCTGACCCACAGGCATGTGAGCTTAAGAAAAATGCTTATTGTTATATAATGCTCAGACTTTTGTAGGTATTGAATGTTCTAAAGCCATAAGTAACTGCTGCAAAAACTGTATTTCCTTATTTTCTGATAGCACCAAATATTCATCCAAAAAATTAGCTCATCAAGCATTTTGTAAGCAGCTACGCTGGGTCACCATTTGAAATTATTTATTTGTCATGTACCAGCCCATCACTGAACCATGACCTTCATGAAGTCAGGAACCTTTTCTGTCTTGTTCATTCCTATATTCCAAGGGACGACTATGGTGAGTGTTGAATAAATATATGTTCACCGAACAAATTGGTATCAGTTATTTTGATATCTACTGCAAATATTCAAAATGTCACTCCAATTACACTCAATTTACTAGAGGAGACAAATGGACATAACTCTAAAGTTCTCTTATCCAAGTTATAGAAGCATAGAGAAATAAATAATTCTAAGTGGAGAAATATTGAAAGACTCTGCCGAAATAACAGCATTGGAGCCATTATTTGTTGACTCAGGATGAAGACTGATGAAGGTAGGAAGAGAAGCAATTCCAATCAGCAAGAACATCATGAATGAAAGTATGGAGGTGTGCAAGAATACCTAGAGCAGCTAAAGTATAACATATGCATATAGGGAACAACAGGTAGAGTCCAACTCTGAGGAACCATAAATGACATGCTACAAAATTTGTACTTTTTCTTCTAGAAAATGAGCAACCAGGAAAGATTTTTAATCATAATATTAATATGACTTTATCTCTTTCACAGAGTTCTTTATACAGCTATGGGGGAGAAAAATTTGATTTACTACCTCCTCTAAGTAAATTTGCCTTGTGTTACTGTCCTTCCTTAAGCCTTCTTTGTCCCAGCAGATAATGAACCCCATAAGCTCTGAGATCCAAGTTATACATGCTCTTTTAAGTCACCTCCCTTTCTTTCCCCTGAGCCCTACACCCTGAGTTTTCTATATCCCCACCCAAATACCTAGTACACATGCTTCACCCCTGTGGCACATCTGATGTCTACTCAAAAAACAGGCAGGCTTAAATTAATCAGAAATACAACTTTGGTCAGCAGCAGAAATGTACACACTTGGGAATCTTTCAGCACAGCTAAGATTGAGAAATCTTAAAGGTGGATGAGACAACCCTTACTTGCAAAACAGTGAAGGGAAAATGTCCATGTGTAGAAGGAATAAGAGTAGAAATCTTTCCCACTGGGCATCTGTTTCCTGACCTGGTGTGTTAATCTAAGGAGATACGGCATACACCAAAGAATGTAACTCCAGAAATCATAAAGCAAGGACCAAATTAAAGTTACACATGGTAGAAAATATCTATTTTATATAATCAAAATCATTATCATCAATACTCACTAAGTCTTCTTTCAATATGATTATAAGCTAGGCAATATAGTACTATGTGTGGTCACCGACTTACAGCTTAATAATCTAATGCTCTTTTACTTATGGGGTGTGTTAGGGAGCCATTGCATTTTAGTAGGTAAGGTGTTATGAGGTGAATACAGACAGTATATGCTGGAAATAGTTATTTGTATGTACTCCTTTGATTCACAGAATCAGAGAACCAGGTGATTGTATGAAATATGATCTTGCTTCAACCTATATCATTGATAATCAGTAAAATAATAATATCCATGGTACATGGACCAAAATATGTTCACAACAGTGTGCCCCTAATTCTAGATGTAAGAAATAGCTTTACCTGTACCCAAGAAGCCAATAAAGTCACTAGCCAATCCATGCATTTGGCCTATGCAGATACAAGTTTAGAGAAATATTCCCTTATGTGCAGATGAATAAAATAAAAATCCAGTATAGAGCATGTGAAGTAAAACTGCAGCTAGAGGAAAGAATAGCATCATCCTGAGTAATCAAAGAAGACCTTTGAAAAATAATTATAATTATAATAATAAAAGACTAAAAAGAAGGGAGAGGTAACAATATAATAGGATAAGGTGCAAGACAATTAACTGAGATTAAAATAGAA